AGTAAAGCCTAGGGAGAGGTTGCAAATCAGAGCACTTGAGGGAGACACGGGCTAGAGACCAACACTTAGAAGATGTAGAGTGAGATTACAAGAGTGTTGCTTGTAAAGTTTTCGATGAACTAGAAAACCGAGTGTGAGGTGTAAACGTTTTCGGGTGAGCGTCGAAAACCCGGTGTGATAGTGGATTTCTCCCCGGGAGTGGGGAGTGGAGACGTAGGACGGAAGGTCTGAACTCCGTGATCATTTCTTGTGTGTTTGAGTTTGGCTTGTGCACTTATATTTTGTTTTTCTCTATCACCATTCTCTTATTGTCTAATTTATCCACTCTATTGTTTGTGTTTGTTTATCATTGCATATAATTATTGCATATCTTATTTGTTAGGATAATTTGTTAATAAGTTTTAATTGACATTAAATCAGATTAGATTAGCATAAGACCCTATTCACCCCCCTCTAGGGTTCTTTCCTAGTGGCATTAGGGTCTAACACATGTAAATTGTAAGTAGTGTACTTGATCATAATTTAGCCAGTTTCAAGCTTGCAAAACAAATCCAGTGGGTTGCATCTTAACAATTAATCTACTTATAGTATTTATCTTGGTGGCTAGATAATTTGTGACACCATAACCGAGAAATACAGCATGTGAATAGCTAACCATTGGTATTCTTTTGTGATTCTCAAATTAAAGTATAAAACTTTTTTAGTCTCCCTTGTTATGTTGTAATGTAAAGTATACAACTTTTTTAGTATCCCTTGTTATGTTGTAATGATCTTCATGTAGATGCATACTGGTTTGCATGCAACTCTTCTTTACTAATATAAAATAGAGACTGATAATTATAGTACATTATTATTGTTGTTTACCCGTGCATATGGATTAACTCCATACTGCTTACTAATAATTTTCATAGCATCCAACAATGAAAGACTGTAAAAAAATCCAACCAATAAGAAGCAATATTGTAGAGATAATGTTCATGAGTGTCATATTTATATTGTAGAGTTTAGTTGATACTAACTCTGTAAACAGTCTTCAACCTAATTTGCGGCCAATCCCATATAATTGTCTTATCTATCTGCCAAGTTCTTTACAGAAAAGAGGATGTTATTGAAATTATCTGGAAAACAACAAATCAAGCATTGAAGAAGAAAAGTCACGAAAAATGAAGAAAAATTGATCAAAAATTGGAGAAACAACCACCGAATCGTACCTAAAGTAACTCGATCGAAGGAGAGTCGATGACTCGGTCATTGAAGAGATAGACGATGCTGAGCGTGGCGGTGACTTTAGCAGAAGAGGTGATGCCAGGGCGGAGGTAGCGTCGGAGGCTCTGGGTTTGAGTGGCGGTTGAGGCGACGGAGGAAGAAGTGGAAGAGGAGGGATTGGGGTCGGGTGAGAAGAGGCAAGGAGCAGCACGACGATTGAGGAGAGGCTGTTACCAACGGTGAGAGAGAGAGACTGAGGCGAGGAGCATCTCAGCGATTTCAGAGGCGATGAGTATGGAAAGGAGCGGCCTTTTATTATTTGTTTCGCTACAGCCTAAAAAAGAGAAAAAATGTGATTTGTTAAGATTGGCAAATACGTAGTCAAAGAGCCACGATTTTTATTATCAATAGAGAGGTATAATTGAAAATTATATAACTGATTTGATTCTCACTTGAATGAGAATGATCATTCATTATCAATTCACTTGGAATGCTCATTCCCACAAAAAAGTGGGAATGATCATTCCCTAGGAATGGTCATTCCAAGGTCTAAAAGATATGCACGTTTGGTATCAGGGAATGGGAAGTGAGAATGACCATTCCATTCTACCCCATTCCCGCGTACCAAACGGGACATAAAGTCTAAGGCGAGCGAGAATGTGCAATTGAAGAGTAGGTAGCCATATTATCATCCTACGGGTAAAGAAAACCATAATAAATTTTAATTTTTGTATGTGTTAAGATTAAAAAAGAAAGGCTTATTTTATATATACCTCTTAAACCATGCATATTTACAAAAATACCCCCAAATCTTAGTATTGACAAAATTGTTCCTAATAATCAATTGTAGAAGAAAAACATACCCCTACCCCTTCTCCACAAACCAATTCATATTAAATCCTAGCTAGTCTTTCATTTCAGCTCTAAAATCTTGAATTCACTAATCTTCACATCAATGAAAATTTTGTTCTTTTAGTGGGCTTCAAAGATAAATGTCTGACAAACATCAAAATTGGTAACCTTTTCATTTACATTTCATAAAGATAACAAACACTAAGCATTGTGTCATTACTACACCTTATTACTTAATGATAACCTAAAACATCACAAATATTCATAGTAAATTATTGCCAATCTTTAATTTTAGTCTTACAGCTCCAGATTCACTAATTTTTACATTAGACAAAATATTATCATTTTAGGACAAAGTTCAACCAATTCCATAGAATGAGTTGATGAAATAGGCTAGAATCAAATATGGTAAACTGCTCAATCAAAAATTCCAATTCAATTAATAAATAAAAATTATAATTCAAAATAATATTCCAGCAAATACCATTATTGCTAAGTACAAAATAGCATACTACCACCGAAAAAAGTTAATTATGATTTATATAGAACTTACAGGATGTTGCATCTCTGGTCTATCAAATTTAGGGTAATCCTCATACTCACTCGCTGGATCATAACCTAAAAATCCGTCCAAATTTCACAAACAACATATACCAAACATTATAACTAACACAATAAAAAATCATGTGAGTTAACTATTGTTGGCTAAAGATGACATCTAATAATTGCAGCAAATATTTTGTAATATGATCACAAAAACTACAGAATACAATAGAGAAGAGACATCATATTTTACCTCCATAAGTAAGGCGATGCATAACACATAAGGGTGTTGCTCAATAGAGCATGCTAAATCAACTAAAAGACAAAACATCAAGTAGTATCTCAATTTGACTTGCGTACTTTTATTATTTAGGAAATGATATAACCTAAGAAACAAATAAATTTATAAGAAACCATATTAATCATAACCACATATTTAACTAATTCGGGCCTCAGAAGCATCATGGGTCCTGGTCTTGGGCACCAAAGATAGCTTTTGTAACAAATCAATAGCATCTGTAATTCAAAAACCCTAAAAGAACACTAATTATCTACTCATCAAAACTCTTGCCTTTTTTTTCTTATTGCTTTGAGCACAAAATTAATAAATACTCTACTCAACACGTAAAGTCTCTTTCAAATTTAAACAATGACATATATAAAAAATGAAAAAAAAGAAATGTCAAATCAATACACAATCAGTAAAAAACTTCTGTAAAAGCTTTATAGAAATCATAAACCCACATCTTAGATTGAATATCTAAACATAAACTTTAAGAAAACCCTAAACCAACAAACCCCATCATAAATCTTTCAAGAATAGAACGCCCAAAACAAATCAAGATCTAAGAAGAATAATAAAAAAAATAAAAAGGAAAGCATACACTCATTACAGGAGTGACAGCCAAAAATTTGAACCCTAGGAGATAAAAACAGCCGCCAAAAGAAGGGGAGAAAACTCTTTCGATTCCATAAAAGGAGACAACTCTTTTTAGAGGTGGTGGGGGAGAATTATTTATCTGAAATTGAGGTATTCAATAATTGATAAAGATAGTTGTGAGTAAATATTAGTGTATAGATTAGGATGAGAATGTAATTAAATTTCTTAATTCCAATAAAATCTAAATACACTTTGTTTCCTTATCTTTATAATATGTATATCTATTAAGAATTTATTAATTTCCTAGGCCAATGATGGATTAGTATTAAAAATTAAAATTTGATTAGTGATAAGATAGTTCAAACTTTATAAAGGTATTTTTGTCTACCAAAAGATTTTCTAGAACTCGTGCTTTTAAAGGGAGTATGTTTTTTTATTTTTATTTTAGATTTAATAATAATAATAATAATAATAATTATTATTATTATTATTTTTGTGAGAGAGAGATGGGGAGTGGAAGAATGTGAGTGAGAATTGAAACTGCCTGTTTCTTTATGGAATGTAAAGAGTAGAAGCGGCAAACAAGTTCAGGTCAAAATGGGTGCGGATAGAACCCAAAATACACGGACTCAAATAAGTCAAATGCATGTTTAATCTATTTTAATAAGCAGATCATGTTTCTATACTTATATCTGTAAATAAAAAAAAACATAATAAAAAAATAAATAAGTACAAAATTCCATCCAATTTCCAGCCTTGCTAAAAATAGTTGATGCATATCGTAGAAAATCTTTGTATTGAATACCATATTGAATTCGTGATTCAAAAGACTAGAAAATGAATCTAATCCATTGAAGGACCAAATACGAAATTTACCCAGTACAGAAAGGCTAAATTTAAGTAACCCCCTTCACCATGGCTAATTATCAAACTATCACCATAATTTTCAAAATGTCAGAACCCCCAAAGTTTAGGCGTTGTCAAAAGACACCTTTAACTTGAATTTTTTTTTATAAAACCTCCTGAAAAATGTGAACCACAATTTTCGCTAGCAAAAACACCTTTCTGCATAGTTTTACTTACCTATATGAGAATTGCATTTAACGCTTTTGTAAAATCTTTAAGATAAAGGTGTTTTCATATAACCTCTCAACTTAAGAGGGTTTTCAAATATTTAAAACGTTAGGGGGGTTTTGTGACAATCGTCTACAGTTCAGGTTTTTTCTGAAATTTAGCCCAAACAAAATAAATACTCAAATCTTTCCATCCGAAGAAACCAACCGGCAAACCAACGAAAAGGAAGAGGAGAACGCGGAGAGAGAGAGAGAGAGAGAGAGAGAGAGAGAGAGAGAGAGAGAGAGACTCCCCTCCCTCTCTTCTCCTTCTCCTTCTCTCATCCCCCGAAATGACGTCCTGCCCCTCACCAGAGAGCGCGCAGGCGAACCAACCCCGCCGTCAGAACCGCGGGTCCCACTCCTCACCAAACCAGCGAGGACATCGACAACGGCGCGGTTGACGGCGCTCCTTCTCCGGCGCCGTGTTCAACCTCTCGACGACGGTAGTCGGAGCCGGCATCATGGCGCTCCCTGCCGCCGTTAAGGTTCTCGGACTCGTCCCCGGAATTGTGCCATCTATGCCATCGCCATGCTGACGAATATTCCATCGACGTTATCCTCCGAGTTGGACGGTCGCCACTGGCGTCGTCTTACGGCGGTGTTGTCGGGGAGGCGTTGGCTTCGTTGGAAGGACGTCGCTTCAGACGTGCGTCGTCGTCAATAACCTCGGCATGCTCGTCGTCTACATGATTATCATCGGTGAGGTCTCCTTCTTTTTCTCCTTAAAAGACTGAAACTTTTTGGATACTTGGCGATGATCGTATAACATTGATTTGGTGCATGTGTAAACGTCAATCATCATTTTCTGACAAAATCTTGATTTTGATTATATAAACATAGTTATGACTTAATTTGTTTGACAGAAAGAACACCATGCTCGTATTCTTTCTGGTAAAAAAAATTTGAAGTCCACGATAAATGGCAAACATCAAGTGCACAAAATTAAAACCTGATCAGACTACACACTTTCACAAATATTGTCACTTATGATTTGGAGATTGATCTAATTGATAATTTATCCCAAACATTGCATTGCCAGGCGATGTGCTATCAGGCACGGCGGCAGCAGATGGTGTGGTGCACCACGCAGGAGTAATGGAGGGGTGGTTTGGGCATCACTGGTGGACTGAACGATCTTTCCTAATCCTCCTCACCACGGCCCTTGTCTTGTCTCCTTTGGTCTCCTTCAAGCGTGTCGGTGAGTCGTTATAATTTTTTCGTATTCTTGTAAATTTGTAAATTTCGTGCCATGAGTAGGCCCTGTCAACACGCCAAATTAACTTCTCAAGTTGTGGAGAGGCTTGAAAGCAGTAATTTTATACTTGAGAGCCCTTCCTTCACTGATACCTTTTTTAACCCCGCTTTAGAAATTTGTGTTCAGTAAGATTTGAACCTGGGTTGCTCTGATATCATGTCCAACGTTCATGCGGGCTACAACAAAACTTTGAAATTATGGTGAAAGTTGAGAGTCATAATTTTGTACTCCAACACATACCGTCTAATTGATTCTTGGTTCAATGTGTTCTTCGCGGTAGATTCTTTGAGGTATACATCTGCTTTGTCGGTGGCATCGGCTGTGGTCTTTGTGGTGGTAACAGCAGGGATTGCTTCCGTTAAGCTGATTGATGGCAGCATTGGCATTCCAAGACTTCTGCCGAAGATTGTTGATCAGGCCTCCTTCTGGAAGCTATTCACAACCATCCCTATTATGGTCACCGCATTCATTTGTCACTACAGCAGTAAGGCTCTCAACTTACTCACGTCCTCAAATTTCATCATTTGCTTGAAATTTATTTCATATCATTGAATGCAGTTAGGAAGCCAATAATCAATAGTCATTCTTTCATATATTACTAAGAAGAGTAGCAGTACTCTGGTTTCGGCTTCTTTTTCGCTTTGCCTTATGTTTTAGAGTTGTTATCTTCATTCACTTTTCTATTAGCATGTCAGTTATGCTCATGTAATCTCCTAAAAGCGGTCTGCAGTATTCTGGTATTAAATCACACGTGAACATGTTTAGTAGATTACATTCGTCTGATTGTCGATTAAAATTGAAATTAAACATGTTTTTCGATGGAACATTTTTATTAGCAGAGGACACAATGTCTTGTTGATTGACTTCAGAAAACCTAGCTTTACATGTCTTATTTTGCATCCTTATTATTTGGTTAATTTCCTTTACCTCTCATTTGCAGTACATCCAATTGAGAATGAGCTGAAGGACACAACCCAAATGAAGTCAATTGTCAGAACATCCCTTGGTCTCTGCACGATAGTCTACATTGCAACCAGTTTCTTTGGCTTCCTCCTCTTTGGAGAAGACACTCTCGATGATGTACTCGCCAACTTTGATGCAGACCTTGGATTCACTGTTTATGGGTCTCTTCTAAATGACATCGTGAGGATTAGCTATACATTGCACCTGATGTTGGTTTTTCCAATCATTTTCTATTCTCTTAGGCTCAACCTCGATGGGCTCATTTTTCCTCATGCTGTGCCTTTGGTACTCGATGGAAAGAGATTCTTCGGTGTTACAGTTGGATTGATGGGGTTGGTGCTTATTGGGGCTAACTTTGTCCCAAATATATGGATGGCGTTCCAGTTTACAGGGGCTACAGCTGCTGTTGCTATCGGCTTCATTTTCCCTGCAGTTATCGCTCTAAGGTACGTGTTCATTCTGTTGTTCTTGCGTTTGTGCACTCAGAAATTCCAATATTTTATTTCATTCGGGAAGTTAAATGAGTCTATCCAAGACATATTTACGCTGACTGACTGTTCTAGTACTAGAACTAGTTCTAGAGAAGCAATTAAATCCATGGCCTGAATGAAGAGTCCTGCTCCATCTTCGAATTAAATTCCAGTCCAACATTAAACTTGCAGACTTTCCAGCATTATCTTCCATGTTAAATTACAAGAAGTTTCCCTGTTTTACCAATAAGTTGGGGAATTCCTGATTCTATCTGGTTTCTAGTTTACATTGTGCCTTTTAAAGCCCCCAGTTATTACACCAAAACTAGAAATATAGTTTTATATTCTAACATGCCCCCGCAGGTTGAGGGCCCTTTTTATGCGCTGAAACCTAGACTCATGCAGCGGTTTCAATATCTAGAAAATCCTTTTTAAATTCATGGCCGGTGGGATTTGAAATTGCGTCTCTCTGATACAATCTTAAAGTCCCTGACCATTACACCAAAACTCAGAAGTTGTGGCGAGGGTTGAAAGTTATATTTTTGTATTCTAACAATGCCAACTAACAAAGTTTATTGCGACTTGTTTGATTATCTAAATGTTCTCCCATCAGCATGTTGTATGTTGTGCTGCACTCTTAAATTGAGAAGGTCCGAGAAATAGGTAACCAAATTCTTAAAACTACCTGTGGCGAACTCAATGCTGACCATGTACTATACTTATGAACCTTATTCTTCCATTCAGTTACGTCAAAAGCTCTCTCCTAATTTAGTTACTGTACTCTTTTTACTTATCCTAACTGGTGACTTGTGCATTAATGGCTATTTGGACTCTGACATGTAGTTATTTTATACAGGGATGTCCATGAGGTAGCATCGAAGAAGGACAGGGCTCTCTCATGGCTAATGATCTTTTTAGCAGTTTCATCCAGCACAGTTGCTATCTCCAGTGACATCTATGACATTATTCATTAGTGGACGCAGCTCATAATGGTGGTGTTCCAGTCACGGTTGGTCTCAGAATGCCGACGTGGTTTCAGGCGCTTCGCCTTCGAGGGGTTAATTTATTGTGGTATTTTTGTATTTATTTGCTTTGCCCCTGATACTTCAGGAGAGCCAGGTGTAAATTTTAAGAGGAAGAGGAGACTGTCATGAATTTGGGGGGTAACTAGTACACTGTAAATTTTTCAAGGAAGGTTAAAAATATATGAAGGTCGATTGACAGGCAGCGTGTTTTCACTGTCTGAAATCTTTCTGAAGTGAACTAGTAAGAATGCTATTAGAAATTACTAGGTTCTCACCAACCAGACCCTTTGCGTTAATGTAAGTTAAAAACAGAAAATTTTATGAAAGCATAAAAAAGCTTTTGCGTTAATATAAGTAAATCAGATTGGACTAAAGAATGATAACTGACAACAAAAATAAGAGTGCAAAAATCAAGTTGAGCAAAACAATAAACAATAAAAGAGACCAATTTAAAAAACGAGAATAAATAACAGATTATTCAATACGGATATGGAAAGAAGTTTCCTTACCAAAACATATATGCAGGAGTGGATTCAGAAACTTTGGTCAGTGGAGGCAAGATTATAAACATAGTTGCATAGAACCCGGTTCGTTTCGGGATGAGAATGAGAGCGTGATACGCCATTCATTAGGAATCGGGTACGAGTAGATAGGCTTATATGGTATGGTAGGGAATGTGATACGTTTTAGATTTGGTTCTTAAATGTAGGAATTTAAGGATTTACAAGAGTCAAATTTAAGCAAGATGCTAGTTGACATCAGTACCGGTAAAAGAACCTTAAGAATTATGTTGTAATTAAGGTATGCATACTTCATTTACTTAGTTTCTCACATTTTTTGTTGTTTATTATTTTAACAAAGAGTTATTTTTTTTTAAATTTTAAATGGCTTGAATTCTAAATTGGGTCGCTAGAATTGGTGAATCGGGCCGTGTTCCATCATGAACCCGAGATGATTTAACCCAGGTTGCGGTTCTCTATAGCATCCCACGTTCCTGACATCTATGATTATAAACTACAAGTATAACCAGTATATGATACTTTTAGCTAAATATTAAGAGCTTTTCAATATTAGTCCCCAAAATATTTCATGTTTTATAATTAGTCCCTCAAATCTTCATATTTTGAAATTAGATCCCCAAAATTTTAAGTATTTTATAATTAGTCCCCTAAATCTCTTAAGTTTTTTGAAATTAGTCCCTATAATTAGTATCGAGTTGAAAGATTGGACCAATAGCGAAAAAACCTAATATTAATGATGCAAAAACAAAATGTGTTATGTAGAAATAAAATAGAGTCAATAGAAGTACCTTACTAAAATACTTTACAATTGTTCCCTCCATGTCGCTCACAATTAACGAGTAGATTCTTCTCGCGATTACAAAGGTGGAGCGAAGACTGGAGGGGTTTTTGTTTCAGACTTTGGGGGAATCGTCATTCGTCATCAATAAGAATTTAGGTACTAGGTAAAGCATTCTGGTAAATGGTTTGAGTTTGGTCCTAGACATTTATTTTCAAAACCCTTGGCTATGGGGTCAATAAGATCAAATATTGAGGGGCCAATTTGAAAGTAAGGGCCTAATATTAAATATTAATTTTATGCGGTCAGTTGGGGCAGTTGCCTCCACCTTGAATCCGCCTATGCATATATGCAATTGTATTTGTATATGTCTTTGGTAAGTGAATACGAATATGATAAGTATTATATCCGAGCTATATCTAAACTATTAGCACCGTTATTTCAGATCCATATGCTTATCTAAATGTTTTTATCCTCAGAAGTAAACAGTAGTGCATTGGAACCATATATTTATACGTGTATATACATATGCATATGTGTATTTGTAAATGTTTATTTGTGTTAGAACATATCTCTTAGCAGGTTGTACATATTCGCACTGAAGTTTGAGACTTAAATGACACATATTTTGATGCATTCTCACCCATCGTAGTTGCCACAAAATTCATCCATATATATTAGATATCTATCCTCAGTCTCAGTAATCGAATCCTCATCATGACTCCTTGTGACCACCTCCTACACGGTCTCATGTATGGATACGCGATTGTAGTCCAAGGTTCCTCCAAACATCTGTTGGCCTTTTTGTTTTGATAATATTTTTATAAACAATTTATGACTAACTTTGTTTGTCTAGTATTTGTGTTTTTGTATTTATTCTAGGCAAACAATGAGATGGTGGATGGATGGACTAGAGCTTTCATGATCATATCCATTGGAGGATGAAAGGAAATATCGGTGTGAAGCTATGCATTCAAGTAAAGATCCAAGTTCAAGCTTCATTTGTAAGTTTACCAAGACGAGCATATTGAAGATTCCAAGCTTGGGTAAATAGTTTAGGGTTTATACTTGTGTGTTAATACTTAGAGCTACATATCACACACACACATTTGGTTTGATTTATTGCCGTTTTGGATTATAGACTTAACGATATTATTTTATATCTTTTATCAAGTCTATAAATCTATTGAAAAGGTTTCAAAACTTTGTTTAAACTCATTTTGTCAAAATCAAGCTTTTACGAGTTCATACTTATGTGATTTTGTAAAATGAAGAGATTTCACAATTGGATAATGCAAATTAGAAAATTCTTTTTTGTAACATGTTCAAAATAACATTTACAAAAGTTTCATTAAGTTTGGAATTAATTTGTTATATTTAATTGAATTTACAAACTCAAGTTTTTGTTCGTGCATGTTTAAAGTTCATGTTCGTGCATGTTTTTACAAAACAGATGAGTTTTCACAAATAAAAATGTAATTTGAAAAATTCTTTTTCTAACATGTTCTATTACATGTTTATAACTATTTTTCCAAAATTTTATCTTTTTTGGAGTTGATTTATGGTGTCAAATTGATTTTACAAAATTATGTATGTCAGCAGTTTTTAGAAACTATAATATCTATGTTCAAACAATTATTTCTTACAAATAAGAAGTTATATTTAATAAATTCTTTCTCTAACATATTTTAATACATGTTTAGATATGTATCTAAAAAGTTTATAATTTTTGGAGTTGATATACTATTTTTAATTGATTTTACAAAGCCAGATACGCAAAATTCCACAATCTGCCAAAATCTAGAACTGTCTGTCGACGTTATCAGTCGACCGACAGATTCTATCAGTCGAATGATGACCTCTTTCAGCCTATATATGGCTAGTTTTCTAGGTTTGATATTTTTTGTCTTTTTGCTTGTTTTCTCTTAGTTTTTGGGGTTGTTTCATGAGCCTTTATATACCCCATGCCCTCTTATTTCTAAGATATATAAGAAAGAGTTTTACAAGTGTTTAAAGTGTGTTTAACTTTGTTTATAAGTTTGTTTTGTAAAGAAAGTTTTACAAGAGCAAGAGAAGATCATCCATTCCTTGTTTGGGCTTCAACTTCATCTATCCTACTCTTGTTATATAGAGAAATTTTTCTAAACTCTATTTCTAGCTATTTATTATTTTGATCATAATTTCTATTAGCTAGAATTACATTGAGTTTAGTTTTGATTTATCTCTTTGTTTACACACACAACCATTAAGCTTATTGTATTTATATACATTGTATAAATTAGATTATGGGGAGTGTGACTTAGAAAGTGAGCCTACATTGTGTTCTCATCTATTGTAGAGAATAATTTATTTGTATTGTGAGCTTAATTGTGTAGATCACTTTGTAATACACTTGTACACCGAGAGGAGTGTGTTTTGAGAGACATGGTTGTCCCAAGAGGAGTAACGTTGGTAGTAAAGCCTAGAGGTAGGTCGTAATTCCGAGCACTTGAGGGAGACACGTGCTAAAGACCAATACTTAGAGGGTATAGAGTGTAATTGTAAGAGTGTAAGATTATAAAGTTTTCGGTAAACTAGAAAACCGAGTGTAAGGTATAAACGTTATTCGAGTGAGCGTAAAAAACCTGATTATGATAGTGGAGATCTCCTCGAGGTGAGGAGCGGAGACGTAGGTCAAGTGGTTGACCGAACTCCGTGATCATATCGCTTGTTTTTGTTTGTCATTGGCGCATTTATTTTTTGTGTCCATCTTATATCGCCTTTGTCAATTGCTCTTTGTTTATATTGCCTACTATCTTGTTTATCTTGTTTATGTTTATTTCACCCTTGTATTAATTGCTTATCCTTGCATATACTTGTTGTATATCATACTTGCTAGGATAAAATTGTTAATAAGTTTTTAATTGGCATTAATATCAGATTATAATATTAGCATAAACCCTATTCACCCTCCTCTAGGGTACTTTCAATTGGTATCAGATCTTGGTGCTCTTTGATTTAAGGGCACCAAGACTCATATGTTCTTGATGGGACTTCGTTCGATCTTACATCGCTACTTAGTGTCTAGGCAATTTCATTCAGTGCGGGAGGTTACCAATGCCTCCATATCATAGGAGACCAAAATGACTATGTTACAGAAGGGCAAGGGTAAGAGATCATTTTTAAGAAACGGAGGAACCCAGCAGCAGAGCAAGGGTTCGCAGTAGCAAGGCCGTCATAAGAAGGGACCTCAGTAGGATCAGAGGGCGCAACAACAGCATAAGTTTCAGGGCACTTGTTTTCACTACCACAAGTTTGGACACAGAGTCGCAGACTATTGTAGTGCACCAGTAGGAGGCCAACAGGTCAAGAATTAGGGTCAATAGTAGCATAATCATAGACAAAGCCGAGGTTAGGGCCAGCAACTGAGGCTTGAGGTGCCGCCAATAGTTCCGAGGATTGAGGGGCAGGTGCAAGCTATTCAGGAGATTCCTCAGAGACAGATAGTCACGTATACCACAGAGCCTTCAGTGTAGCAGTCCGCAGCTTCATGGAGAGTATATGTAGTTGTACCACGTGATCATGGTGCGAGCAGGGCCATAGTGGAAGGTATGTTCCTTGTGAACTCCTTTCCAGCCCATATCTTATTTGACTCCAGAGCTTCGCATTCTTTCATCTGCTATGCTTTCATGATTAGACTCCAGCTTATAGCACAGCCTTTAGATGTTCCTCTGTCAGTTTTTACTCATTTGGGAGAGGTGTCCCTCTTAGAGAGTATCTGTAGGAGATGCATCATTAGCTTAGATGAGTCTGAGTTCGTTATTGATTTGATCGCCTTGCATATGTCTGAGTTCAATGTAATTTTTGGTATGGATTGGTTATCGTCCTACCATGTCAGTATCGATTGTTTTGTGAAAACAGTTA